ATCCGACCCCCCCCCCCCCTCCCATTAAACCTGAGATAAGGTTTGCCAGATACATGTCATAAAGTTAGAAAGTGTGAATTAAGGTGATTAGGGGTAAATTAAGTTTATATTTTTAGCAGCTTCAGCTTTAAAGAGTGTTAACATCTTTCAGCCCATTGTTTTCTTTTACAACCCAGAATTTTAATGTTTTGGTTCAGTCTTACCACTGTCACCAACCATGTTTTCTGCCAAAACAGGTGGTTTTTTTGAGTTTAGAAGCTCTGTTAATCTTTGTATGTGTACATGTCTGCTGAATGTGTAACAAATCAACTTAGTTTTCAGCGTGGCATGATTAAAAAAATAATTTAATGCAGGCTGTAAGATAAGAATATATTTGACTAAAATCACAAGCAGGATACATATTATTTGAAAAGGTGAAACAATTCATGTTTATTCAAACTTGGTTTGTTGTTCATTCTTATTTGATATCCTTTATTGAAAAGATAAAAACAGTAACGGTAATACATGAAATAATGTTCACAGTTAGTAAATTGCTAAGATAAGAGCTAATGAAACTTTATTGACTCATTGTTAGTCTACAGATTTCATGAATAATGTGAAAATGTTTTTTCTCAGTAAGTCACAATGAATCTCTGCTGGTGGCTCTAGTCTCAGACAAGGTTTCTCTGTGTGGGTTGCAGTTTGGGTTCAGCAGGTGTTTGGACAGTAGCCGCTTCCTGCGTTGGTCTCTCCAAACCTAAGGGGACCCTGTTAGTGTTCGGCTGTGGTCCAGAGCTGGCTGAACTCTGAGTCTGTGGGACTCCAAATGACGAGGTCCCCACAGTTGGAACGATGCCTTGCTGTTCGGGATTTGTGAGCCCAGCAGCCTGGTTCACAGGCTGAACGGCTCCTGCAGACGGGTTTGTGAGCACATTGGGGAGGTACACACCCAGCTGAGCCATTTTAGCTGCCATCTGAAACAAAGAAGAGAGGAGAGATACTGTAGGAGGCGAGGGAGGGGGAACAATTGGATCATCAATAGGATCACTGAGTTCACTGAGTAGACTGTTTGAACAGGCTCAGAGACAGATAAAAATCTTGGCTGTGTTACCTCGAGTTCCTCTGAGCTAAGACTGCCAAGTGCTGGGTTCTAAAGAATGACAGCAAATGTCCAATAAAACAAAGTCAGAAAGAAGAATTGTGAAACAAGACTGAGCATTAATCAAGATTATATCTGTTTACAGACTGTACTTTGCATTTACCATGCGTTGCTGGAGCATGAATACAATTTGGGGATTCTGCAAATGAAAATAAACTTTTACTTTCTTTTAATTTTGAAGTAGAATATTTAATCTTTTTTTATGATATGCTGTCTGATTTAAGTGTATAAAGGTAGAGACACCTGTTGTTGCTGAATTGGCTGAGGTGCATTTCCTGAAGGAACAGCTCCAGAAGGTGTTTCTGCAGGTAACACTAGTCTATTTGGAGGTTGATTTGCTGGAGTTTGTAGAAGATGTGATGCAAGAATAATTGGGAATCCATATGGGGAAAACTGCGGTAGAAAAAAAATGGCATTTACATTTAAAAACTTTTCAACAATTTCTGCACTGAGACAAGACAAAACAGTTCTAAGCCTCTCTTATTCCATGAGATAATTAAGATACATTATCTCACTTGTGACAGAAAAACACGCTGAAGGCAAAACAGTATGTAAGTTTCCACCCCCGAGTCATAAATCAAGTGACATACTGTGGCACAAGTATAGATGTCTTTATTTCCACAACACTGTCTGTCTGTCAGCTATCCTGTGCAGTTTATGTTGACAGGATATGCAAGGAAGAAATCATGCACCATATGTTAAAGACCCCAGGGGGAATCTTTCAAGCTGGGTTGTGGTTGGAAAAATATTTTTGTATCTACTGTCTATAGTGTAGCACAGAACAGTACATGCAGTACTATTTGCAGTGCATGGAAAGATCTCAGAAAAAAACAGTGTATGTATACATTATATCTTACCAGTTGATTTGTATAGGGCGATGACAAAAGAGGAAAGTATGTATAAGGAGGGAAAATCTGGAAATACAGCAACAAAACAAACTTAAAATTAGATGCATTCTGATTCACTGAACAGTATCTCTGGGATTTATGTTATTGCTGTAAGTAAGAAAATAGATAGTAAAATTGAAAATAGCTTTAAAATTGAGTTAAAAGTATTGTTTTGTTTGTTGTAATTTTTTCTCTGGATGCTTTTTCTCTACCAAAGGCTGCTGTGGGAGTGTTGGCTGGTTTGGCTGAGATCCATGAATGCTTGGCTGCAGAGGCATAATCATTGGACCTCCCCCTAGTGGAGACCAGGTGTAGTGTCGTGTGGGAGGCAGGACTTGTGGGCCACCCTGGGGATCTGGCTGCTGGGGCACCCCAAACTGTGGTTGCTCCACCCTAGGGGAAAGTGGGGCCGGTGTCTGAGCATCAGGTTCCTGGTTTGTGCCTTGAGTGACTCCTCCTTGTGAAAGGAGGGGAGGAAGGACCTGAAAAAAAACAAGAAGAATGTGAAAATACAACAAACTAAAATTGTTTTGGAAAGTATAGTCAATAAATTAGTCTACTTACTGGTACTGCAGACACCATTATGGTAAAGCATGACGACAGCAGAATTACAATAATCATTTCCAATAACAAAAAAAATCAATATGGTTTTAAAATTGATTCCCACAAGATCAATGAAAGCTGACAGGAATGTCCCCTTAGAGCACTTAGTGTACATTCAATGAAACACAGTGAGAGGGGCATTGACTTATGCACTGCTCACAGAGTGAAACAACCAATGACAGAACAGACATGACAGACATGACAGAAAAAAAAACAGACTAATTCAACCTAATCTTCTGGTTTGAATGAAACAGCAAGGTTGAAACCAAAGAAAATCCACTGAATTCCCTAAACTGCCTGTTTTCCTTCACTTATGATGCTGTAATGTCTACAGAAAGGAATAAACAAAGTCAAAAGAACCCAGGACTTGTGGTTTTCCTGTTACTCAGAGCACCTGTGGGTGCGGCTGATGTGTCAGTGTTTCAGTGCTGTTATTATGGTCAAACCCAATATGTATAATGTGCAACAAAACTGAACAAAATGTTAATAAAACATTGATAGACAAATAGGTGTAATGCTGAAGTCATGGACCTTTTTCAAACATCAAATTCTAATGCAGAACAGTAACATAAAGGGTTAAAAAATGGATGTCATACACAAAGTAATCAATGCATCTTAATTTCAGTTGTTAAATATCATTCTGAAAGAATTTTTTATTCTAATTTTGTGGTGTATACTCGTATGACACCTATATAAGCCACACATGTATACAGTGGGTATACCTGAAACCCAGACACAGAAGACAGGTCAAACCTATGGCATTTTCACTATTACTATCAACACACACTAAGTGGTGTGTTGGAAAATTTACTGCATTTCAGCTAGACCTATTGCAAGTATACACAAGTGTTTTTTTATTATCAGTCAAAGATCCTTTTTAAATCGAAGCTTAAGAATAGACTCACTGTATTTAAGATTAGCCATTCAACTTCCTGTACTGAGGGACAGATTACTGGTCTCACCGTTAGGCTGTCTTCCTC